ACTGGGAAGTTTCAATGCAAGGAAGCAGCAGCCTCACTTTTATTAGCCCATATTGCTAACATCTTGCTTTGCAGCAAAGGCTGATCTCCTTCTGAATTGACCCCATTCCTAACTTGGAACACATCCTGTCGTGGTGAAGGTTTACTACTGACAAGCTTTAGGACCAAGAGTATTTATTTGTTCAAGAACAATTACTGTTACTGTTCAGGTAATAACAGCAGCTCCCTTTGGTGCTGTGTCAGTAGAATCCATTTTAGCATGTGAGTGGTTTTTTTTTTTAGTTTTTTTCCCCGCAGCCTATTACTTGTCGTATCGGCAGCCGCAACAGCCTGCCCTCTCAGGAGTGAGCCATTACATTTCAGACCTACAGTCTTCCTGGGTTCTCAACGTGTGTTCTTCTGCATTAACAGTGTTTCTTTTTATTTGTATTCTGAGGTGTTCTATATATGTACAATTCTGCCCAGGTGCAGATCTCTGTGTGTGTCAGACAAAAAAAAAGAAAAAAAAAGAAGAGAGCGAGTGCTTATCCTAGCTGTGAATTTACTAGATTGAAGGAAGGGAGTTGATCTCCTTCCTTTCATAATTCCTGGAATATCAGCATACTTTGAATCACACACAATGTAGTAACATCTGCATGGCTGCATGGGTGTTCCCATCCACACTGCACTTGCAGCTAGCCTTATTTTGAAAGCTGTTTGATTCTACGTTCATTTCATATCCCCCTCAGGGCATAAAAGGGAGGGCAGGGGCTGCTGCCTTTTAGTTTCTTTAGCAGCTGAAGTGGAAATGGAAGAGGATGGGTAGTAGAATACTTGCTGACAATTCATGCTGAACAATGAGTGATACAGCTTTCACAGAACGGTGTTGTAGCGAAAAGTGGATTAATACTTCAGATAGAATGTAGCTAAAAATGTATTCAGCTATCTTATTTGATAAAGCTGTACTGATGTCCCAAAAAGCAGGGGTGTTTTACTTGGAAAGAGAAACCTTGGACAATGCAGAGTGGGTAAATATATTTCTCAAAATACATTTTCAGCATAGACCTGTCAAATGAGCTTTGATGGTACAAATTGAAAGAACCTGTGAGTTTACATGAAAGGAAATCAAAGCGAGAGGAGTGTATACTAAGAGATGTTGCCCAAATCAAACAATTTCCCACTTACTGATGCATTTAGGTCTTACAGTTCCATCACATCTTTCGCTTACTAAATACTTGGGATTAAGCGCTATCATTTGTATCAGTTTTCCTTCTGCGGCTGCAGCAGACGTGCAGAGCTATGGGCTTCACAATTGCCTAGATAGGATCTTAACATCACAGAGTGGTTCACCTCTGATTGCTTACTCTGCTGAATCTAATGCGATTCATTTTGGGATGGAGTTAATGCACTGCTTTTTGCGCTCTCAAACCAAAGCTGTAAGAGAGCTAAAGCGAGCAACGTATGGTGACTTGTTGAGCAGAAGCACCTTGGAAGGGCCAGCCTTTGAGATAAGAAAACAGAACGTTTGATTTACCCTTTGAGCACTGCAGCCATCACCAGACATTTTGTAAACACTCTTGAAGCTGTTGAGCCCCCCTACAGAAAGAATGGTTCTGTATGAAGTGGCAACTTCATGTAACAAAATACACATACTTATCGTAAGATTTAGGAACTGCAATACAGAAATACACCTTCAATCTAGAATGCCTCTCCAGCACAGGGCAAAGGAGGGTAGGTAACTGGAATAAGAGGAACTGGGGCTGCTCCTGTATTTCCAGTGGAAGGGAATTTTTCTGGCAGTAACAGGCTGCAGAGGAGGTCTTGGGGACTCATCTAACGGGAACAGTGCTAGCTTAGCCTTCGGCTGGCCCTTCTAGCTCTTCAAGTTTATTTTGAGAATGAAAAGAATACAGCATTTACTCAAAATATACTCTATACATTGTCCTCTGGAACATGAATTCACTGAAATGGGTGTCAAAGAGCAGTATTTCTGTTTGTGAACCAAAAGCATATTCTCAGATAAACTTCACAAAACTTCATTAAACATATTTTTAAAGAACTATGAATACTGTATCAGACTTCAGATAGTAGAGGAAGCCACTTACCTTTTCTTATTAAAACGTTTTTTACTGACAGAAGGAAGGTGCTGTTAATTCTCCTTTCAGAACAGACCATGATTGGAAGAACCTGAAAGAGAAGGGCGCTGACTCTGCCTTTTATAGCTTCTGGCAGAGGGGAAGGGCCACTAAAGCTCGCATGTGCTCAATATACGTAATCACCCGAAGAACTTCAAGTCTGCTTCACACAAGCCTTTTGTTGAATGAATGAGGAAAACCTCATTTGGGCCATTTGTGTAGTATTTGTGTGGCAAATTCAGATGCACATAGCAGGTACAGCTAGCCTGAAGGGGAGAATATGCTACCGCATGCAGAGTGATAGAGGAAAAAAATCCCCCAAAGGTATTAAATACCAGTAGCAGGATGAGTTGCAGCTGGCAGCAAGTAGTTTCTGGTGTTCCAGCTGGTCTCTTCAGCCCATTCTCTACTTGCCCTGAGAGAGAACATTTAACAGAAAAATCTTAGTTTTAAAAGGGATTAAGGGAAGTTACTCTGAGCTTTACAGAGCTGGAGGGTGTTACACTGCCTGTGGGAACTGCAACACACTGTTGTTGTTTTGAACTGGCAATATATCTATAGATAAAAAAAATCCACAACAGACTCCTTGTAGACATGAATTTTTTCCTGTTCTTCAAAACATAGCCATTTTATTAAAATTTGCAGTAAAAAGTATTTTGCTGGGATACTTTCCTTTCCACTTTGAGTGATGATAATAGGTAAAGAGATTACACTCTGGTGTGGGGATGAGGACGGGTGGCACAGCTGTGATCTCTGCTGTGCCATCAGCTGGAACCCAGCAAGCTTTCCGGGCTTTCCCGCTGCTGTCCCTCTTTGATGGGTAGTTCTCTGCAAATACACAGACATTTAGTGCTTGTTTTCTCATCCAACGCCGATGACGTTTTTCCAAGCAATTGCATTATTTGAACAGAAAATACACTTGTTATAAGTTAAAAAGTTTGTTCCTTTCAGTGTTCCCTTTAAAGTAATGTGCCATATCCTATGTAGTGGAAATACAAATTCAGAATACTGAATGATTTTTCAACATATACATATGTACCCATGTGGGGGGGTGTATGTGCCACAATGGGCCGTAGATGTATGGTGTGATACACAGCAACACAGCTACCCGTGGTCAGCTCCAGGTATTTCTTGTTAAGGTGTAGTACAGTTACTGTTTGTTTTATGCTGATGGTTAATTTTGAATGGTGTTACATTATTTTGTTAAAATCCTCATTTAACATTAAATCACGCATATTAGAGGCGCTAGCCTGAGGTATTTTTAAAGCAATATAAGGAAATAAGAAAAGCTATTGGTCCTGTTTTACTAGAGATGAAGTTGCAATGTTTAGCTTAAACAGGTGAACATCCATCGAAACCATAGTACAAAAACCCAGAATGACAGCTTTGAAGCCCCTTTCAGCTCTCCCAATTATACAGGATTTTGTATTGGTCGTTCACATTATTTTAACTTCTGCTCCTAATTTTTGTTCTTTTTTTTTTTTTTTCTTTTTAAGATGCACATTGAAGCTGCTAAGATGCTTTCTTTTACTGAAGAGGAATTCATGAAAGCTCTTGAATGGGGAAATTATTGATTCCATAAAAAAAACAACTTCTGTTTGAAATACATGTCAGATGGTACATTACTTTGGCACTGTATGTGAATGCTTGTTAATAATAGTTAATACCTGTATATCCCAGTGAATTGATTTTGTTGAGTTTGCTTATGTTTAGATCATTTAACTTTTATAAGCCTGATAGCTTGTGTTGTAATACCATATGAAATACACATTTCGACTGAAGTTTCAGGCCAAACTGGCCATTCTGTAATGAGCGGAGAAGCACAGACCGTGCAAGAAATGTTCCAACAAGTGAACTTTGTTATCCATTTGCTCTGTTTTAGCATTTCAAACTATACCTTATCTAAGGTAATATTCAGTCCAAAGAAGTCAGGGTTTAGTCTCAGAAAATGCCTTGTTGCAACAGAAATAAATTAACCAGTGATCCAGTTGAGAAGAAAATGTCATGTCCTTTTTAAAACACGTGGTTGGAAAATTGGCCTTGTCTGTTCTCTGTAACAGATATCCCCTCAAAGCTAGTTGGCCTGGCGTCTAATTTAAGCACCAACAGCTCTTTTGTAGAAATGATCATAACTTGTTTTAGTACTACATCTTACACCCCTGGCTGGCAAAAACATAGAGGAGACTTGCCCCTCACTGTCCAGAGAGACTCCACAGTCTGATACAGTTGTCTTGTTTAAAATGGCTACTTGTGTCAAGGTGAAAATACCACATCTTTCCCTGGCCATCAGCTGCTGCAGTCAGGAGCGATGGCTCCATATTCACAGGTGCTCTACAAGCATTACATCCTTAAAGATTTAATTATGTCATCATTACCATCAAGAATGAGACAAAAGTTGGAGTGCAGATGAGCTGAGCATGTACATGAATGAACAGGAGCAAAGGAAGCCCGTGCTGCTCGCATGAACCTCTGTCAAACCTCAGCTGTTCCAATGGATCCCTCCCTCAGAGCAATTGCACAGGAACAGGGCACACAAGTAGGAAGTTTATGCACTGAAACAAAGGTACAAACGGTGATTCTGACCGCAAAATGGAAACATGTCTCTGCTTAGATCCTATTAGCAAACTAACATGAACTAACAGTGAAACAAGGAACTCGGACCTACCCCTTTGAGATGAGACAAACTAGGTTTCGATTAGTATTTTAATAGTGTAATGCCAATGTGGATAAATCTTTAAATTACAACCAGAAATAGTGCATTAAGAGAATTTTGTAGTCCATACTGAAATACGCATGTGAATTTACACTAGCTTAGGTTTCTGCAGAGTTGCTGGAGAAAACATTTTTAACATTGCTACATCACTGAGAATAATTTAGAAATCCATTGCAGTTTATTGATGAAAAATGCAAGTACAACGTATGCTTAAATAACACTAGCTGCTCATCAGTTTAGAACTCCAGTGTTAAAATGGAGACTTTTAATGATATTGAAAAGGAGTTCCTCACTGTTAACAGCAAGTGGAAATTTTCATTAGAAATGAGATGACACCTAGTGGCAAACCAGGAGGTGAGATGGGGGAAATTTCAGCTCTCTCCTGAAAATGCATTACCTCATCTCTTCTGATAAGCCAATCTAAATTCCTCCCCAAGCATGTTAACGTCATCTTCGTCTTTGAGTATTCCCTGCAATAAGGAGAAAGAAACACGTCAGGAGGTAAAACAAAGTAGAGAGATTATTGTGGATCCCTGAAATTTTCAATGGAAGTGGATGTAATAGCTTGTATCCGTGGCACCGGTGTTACCTTTACAACAAACAGCCCTGAAAACCATCACAGGACTTCAACAGGCGAGTTTCCCATCGGTGTACCTGCTGCTGACCTAGAACTGCCCCTTTTGTTCTTCAGGCAAGAACCCCGCAAAGACTCCAACGTGAGCACTATACGAAAGGCAACATTTAGCTGCATTCCCTTTCTAATGAAAGTGATTCTCGTCAGCGCAGCACAGGGGCAGGTTTAGCACGAGAGGCACTGGCTGGGGTGGGGCTCTGCCTCCCCCTTTAGTTGTGTTGAAAGGAGCCCATGCAAAGAAATTATTCTGGAAATCGGCCGATACTGAACAACTCAATCAGAAACTATGTTTTGGGGAAGGGAAGCAGGGCAACCCAGAAATCTAAATCTCTAACTAAATCTAAATTCATTTTAGGGCTAAAAATGTGTGTGACCCACAGAACATACCTTGCAGCATTTGGAAAAAAAAATAAATTACAAAGTGCGTTTACACTGGAGACTTTAGAATTAGGTAGCACTGTTCTATTTAACTATTTGGAGTGAGGTAACATGATGCGTGACCACACGATTCGGGCACAGCCTCGAAGCAGAGACAAGAACATCAATACCATGGAAGAGGTGTGAGCTGTGGACACTCTGAAGTAGCCAAGACTTCCTACAGCAGTAAATTCAAACCAGAAAACTCTGTCAAAATATTGCCAATTTGAGTTATCCTTTAATTAAATCTGCATTAGAAAATAACTCACTCCAAATTTTACAAATTCGCGTACCAAATTAGCATATTAATATTTGAATAAAAATCCTACGCTGCTATATTTACAATATTTTCCAGTATAGCAGCAAAGCATTTCTTTAAATAGTTGGATAATTCCCTCCCAACTGTAAACACATTTTTACATCCCTAAAGCAGCTCTCTGTTCATTGGCATACCGTCAGGTGATCTTTCCAAATATGAAGTATAAGACAAACTAAATTGTAGCTCATTCCTTTTCCAATAAGCGCTTCCATCGTTTTAACTTTTAAAAACACAAGGATGAACAGAGTGAGCTTTGAAATGCAACAGCGAGGAGGCCTTGTCTCCATGGTAACAGCAGACTCCGAAGACAGCCAACACTGTAAGAAATTGCTCCCAAAACCCCAACTCAGAAATCGGCTGGAAATGGGGTTTAACATACGGAGGACCCCTTTTCTAGCTAGAAAAGCCCTGCTTTTGAACTTAGGTTCCATATCCCAAAAACTGGATGTGCGAAGTGCTGCGGGAGCTGTCGGCAAGTTCTGGACAAGGCATCAATATTGCAGTAGAGCCCAAAGCCCCTCACGGAGAAAGAATATTTTTGTAAATTGCTTCCCAACTCAAAAAAAGAAAAAGGAAAAAAAAAAAAAAGAAAAAAAAAAGAAAAAAGGAAAAGGAGAGCACAGGAGAGCTGACACAGTGACACCCACTGACTCCAGGAACTTACACAGGTCTGCAACTTCGCCTTAAACTATCGAAGAAAATGCTGATTTACAGGACAAACATTGAAAGCATTTAACATACAATTCACTTACTCGAGGAAGATAACCCAATAATTTAGACGCATGCTCTTTCAAGAGTTTCTGTCTCTCTTCTTCAACAATCGCACGGATGTTTTCTTGTCTTCTCTCCTCTAGCTGTCTTTCTTCAAATTCACGCTCCTACAGTAAACAAGCACATTTTTGTACCTGTTCAGTGTCAGCTCTCTGAACACCTGGTTCCACCAACATCCACCATAGTATAAAGAGAAAATTTTTTTAGCAGAGTGAATTTTGAATTTCTACTTATTAACTCCTGGTCAGAGGGAATTAATTTGAAAAGGATGGAAAAGTGTATGTAAAAAACGACAAAGCACTGTTTAAACAATACATGTTTGGTAACTAGAAAAAAAACTCAGACAAAAGAGGCCTGAATGGCAAGACACGGGGCTAATCTGCTGTGTAAGTGTTTGGTCTCATACACTAAGCCCTTTTAAAGATAGTTAAGTGTTAGGTTCTGGTTCCTGCTCGACTCTCAGATGAGTTAGTCTGTTCCTGTCTAACTGTTCTCATCCAGGAAAAGGAGAAATAGGCACGTACTCTCATGCTGCTGACTAGGAATTGCAATTCACCTTACACGTGTGATTTATACTCTATAAAACAGGTCCAAAAACTGCAATGTAGGATTCCATGACTTGTTTTCAGTTTACGCCTTTTCTTCCTCAGATGATAATTTGAGAGACTTAACCCAAAATCAAGGCTGGGACTTCCCCTTCTCACACATCACCATCAGCGCTGCTGGTCAGGGACGCTGAACTGTCAAAAGCTGCGTCGCTGATCCCACAGCTTGTGAAGAGATATTTGCAGAGCGCGGCAGGTATACGGGGGTCTAGGGATCTTGCTGACTCTAACCTCTTGAGCTACAAAAAAAGTTAGCTCTAAAAAGACTTTTTCCCTGTTAGCAAACCAAAAGAAAGGCCTGCTGCCCACCCTGCACGTTTCTCTGCAATTCCCCTGTCACCTTTCCCTAGTAACAATAGCCTCGTCACTTAGGATAGCAAAAGTATTCTCGTCTTGAAACGTTCTGGCTAAACCAAAGGCAAAAGTGAAAACTCTCACTTTATCTGCGATACACTGTTTGCGACGGTCTTCAAGAAGTTTTTCCACAGCCCTTCGGTGTTCAAGCTGTTTCATCCTTCGTTTGTCAGCATTCATCTGTTCAATGCGATCATCCTCTGCAAACTTGGCCAACATCTGTTGTCTGAAGGCTTCTTCCTCTTCTTGCATAGCTTGTCGCGCTGCCTTCTTTAAGGCAAAGTGCTCTTCATACGTTTGCCTTAAGTCTAGGCGTTGCCTTATTCTCTTTTCAATTTCTGCCTGTAAAGGAAATGTAATGAAATGCTGTATTACCGAACATACTTTGGAAAATTTTGATCTTCATCAGCCAATCTACGTGACTTCTCTTGGAATAAATTTACTGTAGGTGTTGCCTTCTAGCATAAATAACTGGAGCAAACACTCCATATCTGACAGTGCTCTCCAGTATTAACCAGTTTGGCAAATGTCTCCAGATCCTCAAAATTAAGTCCAAAACAAAAGGAGATTATTTTTCCCACTAGCACAAAGTGAATCAACAGGACAGTCATCCTGAACAGCTCTCTAAAAATAACGGTATTGCGTCTCTCAGCCTGTGTTACGTTTCGTTTGTCACCCATAGCAAGACAAGAGTGCGTGGGTGGGCCCACAGGAAAAAGCAAACGGACATGCAAAAAGCAAGCAGTTAATTAACCTGCTTCGCTTAAACCTGAACTTGAAAGTTACTGGCATTCTCCTTCACGAGAGAAATAAATATATAAAGGGGACAATAAGGGTATTCAAAACCTTCAGTTATCTTCCTGGTTGAAATAAAAACATAAACACATTAGGGGTGGCAAAGGAAACTCAAAGGACAGAATTCTCCCTCCAAAACCCAAGTTAATATACAAACTGCTCGTCTGACTAAGAACATCTAAGAAATAGTGTTGGAAATAGACACTTTGTGCCAAAACAGAATTTAAAACAATTCAAATTTCGTTTAATACCCCTAAACCCATGTCAGAGTTAAGCTTTTTGCTTTGAGACAGCTCACAGACCAAAACGGGCTGAGGGAAGTCCCACAAAAACATCCCCCAGTTACAAATAACACCGCAGACTTAGCAAATCCAAAGTGTGAAAGAAACCCCAACCCAAGCCAGTCCCCGAACAACCCTGCCAGCACTGTTAGAGGAAAAGCTGGGCAAACGGCCGTTACTTGGCCCCTGAGGAGCACCCTCAGATGCCGAAGGAACTGCACGTGGGATGTACTCTCACTAAGTCTTCTCTAAGCACCGCAGCTCCCCTGACAACTCCCAAAGAAAGAGCGCTGCTCCATCACAAAGACATCAGAAGTGAAGGGACAGAGGAAGAGCACGTAAAATACTGTCCCCTGTGTTCACTTTATTACTTATTTTTCTAGATCAGTGACTGATAATGGTTTTATTTTCTCTTTAAATTTTAATATCTGGTCTGTTTACATTAGATTAGCTTACCCATAGCTACAAGTGCTCCATAAATTATGTTTTCCTGCATATACGCTACTATTTTTATTTTATAGAAGTTTCATCCAGACCAGTTCTGCTATCCTGAATGTTCTGCGGGAACTATGGCGAAGTTGCAATAGTCCTCTCCACTTGCGTTCTCCCTTAACAGCTGATGCACAGGTACGTATAACGTACGGACGACGCATGAAAAAACTGGTATCTGACAAGTACCAAAATATCCACGTATGCATCTGCAGGAGAAGTCCAGGGAAAGTGAAATATTCCCCCCCAATACATAGGTACTACCACAACTACCTGTCAGCGCTTACCAGCTCCTTCTTCCTTTCTGTCTCTGCTTGTTCTTCCAGATAGAGCTCTTGGCGGATCTGTTCCAGTTCTTCACGCTTCTGTTGTTCTCTTTCCAGATTTTGGGCAATCTATTACAAGAAGGAAGGATTTCTAAACGAAAGACAAGAACGTACAATAGCTTCTTGTACAATTTCAATTTTTGATACCATGCTTTGAAGCCTTTGTTTTTTCTCCTCAGCGTCTCGAACTTTAGCCATCCGATTTTCTTCTCTTTGGCGCTGAATGTTGGCAAACTCCATAATTTTCCTGTTTTCTTCTTCCATCTCTTCCTTTTTCCTTCTCCTCCAGACAGCTTGTTCTTTTTTGAATTCTTCAATATATGTCTGAGTTGCTCTCATTTTATCTAACTTCAGTTGTTTTTCCCTGTAGAAGATGGAAAAAAATGATTAAATAGTTATTTAACATACTGCAGAGTAACATTAAACAGACCACACGCTCATCATTAACAATAAATTCCAGAGACGAAGACTTAAATGACTCTCCTTACCCATTCAGCTGGAAACTAGATGCCTAAACTGAAAATACTTATTAATGAATTGCCCCAAAAAGGGAATCTCACGTCTAACACCTTTCTTCAGGAGAACAGGCTGCAGACGTAGGTACTGACTACTCCATTTTATACACGCTCCATCAAAACAGAAAGAGAAGGAAGCCCAAGAGCCCAGTGCACCAGAACCTCCTAAACTTTTTAGTTTTTAGCCTCCTCTCCTCTCCCTGTCCATAGGACAGGCACACACCACCTCTCACGAAGAGGCAGGGACACGAGGTGAGGCAGAAACGCCGTCGCTTCCAGCATGACGGGCCCAATGGGAGCACTCCTTGAAATAAGCTGGCTTTCACGTTTGGGGAACAAGGACGCGAGACTGACTGGGATGAGAACATTCTGATGTTTAAACAGCAAAATCCACGCACGTCAGTCTCTGTTAGTAAAAAGTGACCAAGGAAAACTAACACGGGCCTTAGTCTGTGAAATAAACATATACAAATGAGTGTTCTCTGCAGGATTCTATCAGTTTACTTTAAGTGAATAAATAATAAAAATTCAAAGTAACTAACATTTGGTCTTCCTCGTAGATCTTTCTTACAATTTCATCAATCATGAGTTTCTCTCTCAGAAACTCTTCATAAGCATCCTGCTTCTTCCTCTCTTGTTCCTCAAGCTGCTTCTCCAGCTCTTGCTGATACATTATTTTCTCCTTGTTTCGCTTCAGTTCTGCAGAACTTTCTTCTTTTATTACCCTTTCGTACTCTTCCTTCATCTTTTGGGCTATTTCAGCCTCACATTTCTATAGGGGGAAAAAGCAATGCAAGATTCCTTTTTACTCCCACTAATACAACTCGTAGCGAAAAAATACACAGTATAAAAAGGAATTGTACTTCATTACAAAAATTGAATGTTTTCCACCTCAGTCTATAAATATAGTGCCTTAACATGCTTAATAGCTTAATTCAGTAAGTAGAACCCTTCAAGAGAGCCCTCAATATCTAAACAACTTGAGGAGAACCAACAATACTTAAAGGAAGCCACGTATTAAACGAAGACGCAGTGGCGCATTCAGCATGAGTGACAGCAGCTCACGTCGGCGTAATGACTGGAACGTGGTTTAACTACGTAGAACATCCTCAATAAACCTGTTGTCTTTACAGCAATTTGCGTAAGCTGAATTTTGCGTAAAACGTAATCAGAATCGTCTGCCTGATCACCGGTATTCTCCTATACATAAATAAAAGTTCACAATTCTTTCTGAAGTTATTCAGATATATGTTTAATAGCAGCAACAACATTTTCAGCAATCTGCTTCTGAGGTAAGGATTCACCACAATAAGCACTTGCCGTACAAAGCGTATCATAGTTTTAACTTAGATAAATATTACCAAACCAGTAAAATAAAAACTATATCCATTCATGCAGCTTAATTCACTACTACTTTGATTGCAATGACAAAGTATTGCTTTTTGGTATTGCTAGTCATTACCGGCTAATTAGCCCTTCGTAACATAAAGCACACTTCCAATAAACACTGAATGCCTAAACCTAACAATTTTAGATAAAAAGGCCAGCTTCGACAGAAAAATTGTCAGCGCAATCCGTACAAAGAGTTACAGCACTCAGGTGCTGGGGGACGCTGTGAAGCCAATTACCATTTTCTCGTACTGTATAGCTTCTTTTTCAGTGATCTGTGCGGCTCGCTCTTTATTCATGTAAGCGGATTTCAGCTTTTTTTCTAACTCTCGAAGTTCAAGACTGGGGAGAAAAAAAAGAAAGGAAGAAAGAAATTCATACTATTACAAGGAGGTCAGTACCTATGGGGAAAAAAAAAAAAATGAAGTTTCCATCACTATTTAAACACAACTGAAGGGAAAAGCTCAAGTTCAGATGAAAAATACTGCTCTAGTAAAAGAGCAGAAAAAGAAAACAAAACCTGTCTCAAACCAAGAACTATCTATGTTTGCACACATGCTGTCAATAGTTTTGCATACTTTCCATCTAACTATATAAATGCATATATATATATAAGCATATGCTCAAAATGAAAGTTTTGTGGATCAGAAAGTTTTATTGACAAAATTTGCTTAAAAGTAATTTTTTATCATATCTTGATCTTAAGTAAGTTTTCCTTGCAGGACAGGCTCCTTTCCGCTGCTGCTACACCTTTCCCGCAGCCTGCCTTGTCTCCGCTAGACCGCCGTCACCTCGGGCTGCCGGGAGGTCACCTCGGGCTGCCGGGACGTCACCTCGGGCTGCCGGGACATCACCTCCCGGGCCCCGTTCTGACACCCTGTGCCGCCAGCTGAGTAACCTCTCGGATCGCAGCCCTCTCCTAAGCACTCCTCAGGCTGCCTGTGCTTTTTCCAGTCATGATCTTCCCTGCCCCACAAATTCAAAAAGTTAAAGCCTATTCTAAAAAATAAGTTAGGTATCTGATTTTAGCATCCTAAAACTTCCTCTCTATTGCTTGAAAACATCTCATGCTAGAATCTTACCGCATGTAAGCTTCCGTCCAAAACGTGATTGAGAAAAATAAAAAACGAGCAGGAGGTGCACAACTGACTGAATACCTCCATAAATACACTTTTCGGAGTTGGGACTGACTGACGGTAACAGTAAAAACAGTTAAATAAAGTAGTGAGATTTTTGGAGCGTTACCTGTTCTCCCTTACTTGCTGCCTCATCTTTTCATCTTTCAGTTTCTCGCGGCTCAGCCTCGCCAGCTCGGCCGCCAGCCTTTCTTCTTGCTCCAGCTCCAGCGCCCGCAGTTTCTTGTCCTCTTCTGCCTAGTACCAGAGCAGACCGTTCCCACGACAGCTCTCCTCCACGCACCTGCGCGGCCATTTGGAAGCGGGCAAACTGCCGGGCCGCCCAGCCAGTGAAGGACTTTGCAGGGAGAAAGCTTCTGGAAGGTAAAGCCGGGCAGAGCCCCCGGCAGGGCACCGCTCCCACACCCACGCAGGCTCCCGCCGCCCCGCGGCCCTTACCCGCAGCACG